CAATCTATTGCATGTGTGTAAAGCATTGTATTTATTCAGGATTTTGCTAAAAGTTATACTATGCTCGCTAAAGGAAAAAACCCCTAAAATTGTGAGTGATAATCCCCAAAAGGGCTAAGATTTTCCTCAGTCTGTTTTCTGTACTCTCTATTTACTTCTAGAAGAACCCTCCCCTTCAATCTGAGCAGCTCCATGAACAGTAGCATCTTACAATTCTGACATGCTTTACAGTTTACAAAGCTCTTTCACAAAAATTGGCTTTTTGATGCTCACAACAGCTTGTGTTGTAGGGAGGACAAATATTATTGCCTCCAGTATGTCAGGTGAGAAAATTTGACCCCTTAGCAGTCAGCTAAGGAGAAATATTTCAGGTGAAAAAGAAAATTGCACATTTCTTTTTCAAAATTGGAATTGTTTGGGATTTGCATGAAGAGAAGGAAAAGAATAAATAAGTGTAGAGGTCTGGGAAGAAATCTATAAATTAATTTATTTCTTTAGTTGTAGAGTAACTTTGTTTTTTCTTTCTGCAATAATAACAGCTAACATTTAGTTAGTGCTTATTATTTGCAACATGTAAATTAACTCATTGGATCCTCGTAACGATGGTGTGAGGTAGGTACTACTATGGCCCTGATTTTACAGACCAAAGAGCTGATGAACAGAGGGGTAGATAAAACCACTAGAAAGTCGCAGAGCTGCAACTCAAACCCAGGCAATCAGCCTCTGCATCTGTGTTCGTTATAACTCCTGTGCTCAGTGGTGTGCTGGTGTAAACCGGCTCCCCAAGGGAGTACATAAATAGAGCCCTAGTTCTATAGTGTAAGTATTTCCATCATGGCCATTTTCAAGTTACCAGTGGTTTAATAGCCAGCTTGAAAAATTCCTGACTATTTATCAATCAGCAGGTGCAATCCCACCCTAGCACACTGTTGATTACCCTACATGGCCTCTTCGTGCTTTCAACACAGCAACATCATGAAGACGGATTAAGTTATTATTTTTGTTTTAAAATCAACTTTATCGAGGTATGATTTACATTCAATAAAATGTGCCCGTTTTAAGTGTACAGTTTGAAGAGTTTTGACCTATGGATATACCCACGTAACCATCACCATAATCAAGATATAGAACATTTTCATCAATCCTAAAGGTTCTCTTGTGACCCTTCCCAGATAACCAGTTAATCCCCGCTCCTTCACTCATTTCAGCCCAGGCAACCACTGATTTGCTTTCTGTCACTATAGAGTAGGTTTGTTTTTCCTGCAATTTTGTATACAGGGAATCATATGGTATGTATTCTTTTGTGTCTGGCTTCTTCTGTTCAGCATAATGGTCTTGAAATTCATCCACTGTGCTTTCGTGTTAGTGGTTCCGTCCTTTTATTGGTGGGTTGTATTCTATTGTATGGACGCACCATAATTTATCTGTTTCAACAGGTGATTATTTTTCAACCATGAATTCTGGTCTTAACAAATTCTCTTATAAATATGTTGCTGAATATTGCAACCATAGCTTTTATTAAAAAGCTGTAGTGATGAAGAGGATACATTCAATTAGGACACTGATGTTTTTTAGTTTGATTTTGAGTTTATGATACTAATATTAAACAATGACATTTAAATCTTATTTCCAGTTCCAAGATTTAAGAAACATATACTACCCCATAAAAAGCTGTTTACTCAGCTATATGAACAAATTTTTCCTTTGATGTTTGAGTATATTTTTAAGAGCCTGAGTAGTTCAGATTGGCTGTCTGGTTCTATAAACTTCAAACAATTACTAACCTTCTTCTTTACTTTATGCTTCCTTACTGGTGGACTTTCTGGAAGCTAATACCACTTACTATTTATTTATTTATTTATTTATTTATTTATTTATTTATGAGGAAGACTGGCCCTGGGCTAACGTCCATGCCCATCTTCCTCCACTTTATATGGATGCTGCCACAGCGGCCTGACAAGCAGTGCATCGGAGCGTGCCAGGATCCGAACCCCAGGCTGCCAGCATCGGAGCATGCGCATAAAACCGCTACGCCACTGGGCCAGCCCCCCCTCCTCCCCCTCCCGCTTACTATTTAAATAAGAAAGTTTTATTAAGTTAAGGCCTTTAAAAAGGTTTGCTTTTTTATCTTCTCTTTTCTTTCTCTCTTTTTTTAAAAAATAAATTTTTAATATCAAACATACCCCAAATGGCTTGAAAAGCAGTTTTTTAAAAGTTTATTCCTAAAATTCCAGTAGGTGGCATTCTTACAAAGCCTAAAGAAGTGACTTCTTTGGCAACCTATGGTTGTTTTCTAGGTGGTTCCCTTCTTACTGTGACCTACTTGCAAACTCATTTGTTCTGGATAACTAAAATTCATTTTTTCCCCTAATTATCAGAGTTATGAATGCTGTTTGTTAAGCATTTTTAAAAATGCACAAAATAAAAAACAAAACAATCTTCAAACCCCTTGCTAATCCCCAAGAGATAACCATACAATATTTTCCAGACCTTTCTCTAGCCTACACACACAGCAAATACATATAAAAGTAAAAATTTAAATTAGTAAAGCTTTAGCTTGTAAAATAATCATAAACAACATGCTTGTCTTTTGTTGTCTGATCTTGTACTTGGGTTTTTTCTTATGAGTTATTTTTCTTAAAGACAGACCTCTCACTTCTGCAATTCTTTAATTGCTGAGTCCAAAAGGAGCTTTCACATCTGTGTTGAATTAGGGCTTGTGGTCTAGTGAAGGAGAGCTGGAATCTCATGATAAGGATGCTGTGCTAATAGCATTTCTTGGCAGTGAGAGTAGGGCAAAGTAAACTTAAATAATAAGAAATCTAATGCTTCCTTTGCCAACTGAAGACTATAGAATATTCTGGCTCAGATATTATCAGAATAGGACTGTGATTTTGGACTTGCTGGCTGTTCCATGAGATCCTAGCCATAGGATCTTCAGTGGGAATTCTGTGAAATCACTGATTTTTTTTCAGGTAGATTTTCCCCCCATAGTATAATCTTAAGGGCAGCTGACTTCCCCCAGAGTGAGAAATCCAAGAGATCAAGCCAGAGCTGAAATGTTTTTGTGACCTAACCTTGGAAGTCACACACTGTCACTTCTTCAATAGGTCTACTGTATTTATTGTGGAATGGGACTATACACAGGAGCATGAGTAACAGAAGGTGAGAATTATTGGGGCCATGTTGGAGGCTACCACAAGAAGTAATCAATGCATAGATGGTTACTTTATTGAGGTGTAATTGACATATAAAATAATATTAGTTTCAGGTTATAGCATAATGATTTGATATCTGTGTCTATTGCAAAATGATCACCACACTAAGTAGTTAACACCCATCCCATCCATAGATGGTTACTTTAGAGCCATGAGATTAGTTGAGATCACGTAGGGAGCAAGCATAGAGAAAGAAGCCAAGAGGATTGAGCCAACATTCACAAGTCACAAAGAAGAGTCCAGTGAGACGATATCTCTGGGAACCCAGTGGAGAAAATATTTCCAAAAGAAGGGACTGCTGAGAAACTAAGATAATAGCAGAGAAATGACCACTGGATTTATACTTGTGCAAAACCCCCTTTTCCTTTGTGTCTCACACAGTTCAGATGTAGTTGTAAGGAAAACAGATGTTGTTTAAAACAGTAACTATTTGCAGTCCTTTTTCAGGACCAAGGAAGTGGCATCATTTGCTACTTGGGGGCTGTGGACCTTGTTCAGGAAAAGACCTTGATAATCTCTTTGGGTGTGAAAGGTTAGGTTCTCCTAGGACATGTTCTGGAAGGTGAGGGCTAGACAGAGTTGAACTGCTATGCACAATAAAGTGAGATGAATGGAGCACCTGAAAACACTAGGAAATATTAAAACAAAGTGTGACTTCAGAAATCTGCGTACTGAAGCAAGTCAGCTTAAAATGGCATAATAACCTTCCTTGGGCTTTGGCACTCAGCGCTAGGATTCCTCCGGGCTGGCACGACTCCTCCCTCTCCCCTCTGCTCCCTTTGACACTTCCTGCTCATCAGTTTCCCTGGATTCTCCATACCACTTTTGGTTCCATCCAGTAAATAATAACAGGACACAAATATTGAGTACTTCTGGGTGTCAGGGCCTGTTCCTAGTGTTTTATGTATGTTACCCTCATTTAATCTTCACAAAACCCACCCCACTTGAAAGATCAGGAAAGTGAGGCACACAGAGGTTAAGTTACTTGCTATAAAGTAGCAGAGCCAGGATTTGAACCCAGTCTGGCTTCAGAGCCCAGACTCTTAATCATTAAATCCTGCTCTTGTTTTCCTTTTAGGGTTTTGAATTTGGCAACCCAGATTGAACCACCATCTACTCAGGTTTAGACTTCGGCCACCTTCTGCCCCAACCCAGACTGTGACATCTGTTGTTGACTTGTGGGTCTGACCCACCCAATAGACACCTCACCCTGGGCCTCACTGGTGCCAGATAGGAGAAAGGACGTCAAAGCAATGTTTGTTCATGCCCCTGTGTCCTTTCACGTGTGTTTCCTCTGTTCCCCTTCTCCCTTCTCTGCCTGGTTGGTTTCTGTAGGAAGCAGTTAAGTTGCCCCCTGACAAATTGTTCACTTCTTCCTCTGTGTGTCTTTTGAACTTCTGTTTGCCCTGTCTCACTGTATCACCGTTCCGGTAGAGGCCTATCTCTGCCCTCAATTGTGAGCTCCTCCAGGTGAGGACTGTATCTTATTCATCTTTGAGTCTCTAGGCTGGCACACTGTAAGGGCTCAATAAGTGTTTCTTGACTGAATGAAAGAAGAGCCTAGAAAATGAACAGGACAACTGTTATACCCTGTAGCGGACAATATAATTTTGCTGTGACGTTAATGGACTGATGTAAAAAGGACAGAACTTCTAAAGAATCTTCTTAATTTAATCTCCAACCTTGAAACCTTTATCCCAGTGTTTATCTACTTTATTATTAGTATTTCACAAACCTCTCTCTATGCCCTTGACATTATTGTTGGGATCAAGAAGGTACACATTTCACATTATTACCATTCATATTTCATTAAAATTAGCTTTATTAAAACAATGCTACTTGATCAAAGTCCTGTGATTAAAAACATGTTCCAGGTCACTAGAAGAAAGTTGATTAAAAGACTACTCCAGGTCCAGAAAGATGTAAGGCAATTTTGATTTGTTGAAAGACCAACATAGCCACAATGACTTGTAATTGAATATTGTTTCAGAAGGGCAAAAAGGACTCAGAGTGAATAGGGAATCCAAAGAAGATGAAACAGACAAAAACAGAGATTGAACTAATATAGCATCTTACTCTGAAAGGGATAATTTCTACTTGTAAATTTCTTGTTCCTAAGGAATCAACTATGGGGCAGATCTTGTGACAGTTTACATTAGTTCTTCAATTTCCTGAACTTGAGAGGAGACCACCTCACCGTTCAGCACTTCCTGCACAATTGTCTTGATTTTTCGGCTTTTGGTTGGGTCTAAAGATAAAAATGGAATAAAGGGGGCAAAAGTTAGTGTTTCAAATATTCATCTAAAATTGGTTGTGGTTTAACTTAAGCTTCTAAATTAGGTATTGGCTGATTTGATCTATCAAATTTTAACTTCCAAAAATGACTTTTGCATTCTGAAAAAATGCATTTTATTCAATGAAAATGAAATGTATTCAGTGTTATCTGGTGCACAAATGAAAATATTTTTCTCTTTAAGCATTTAAAAAGTGGTTATGATGCTCATAATACCTCTTTGTAGAGTAGATTTTTTCCTTCCTGGGCTTGCCAGAAGTTTTAATACAGTACAGACTACTCGTTTTTCTGCAGAAATGCGTAAATGTTTTTCCTTGGCTCAGAATACAAATATACTTTAAATTATTAATAATACTGCAATATTCAATGAGATCTGACAGTTTTAGTTGTTAGTAAATGTGATTCTGACTTATTCTCAGTGGTTCTTAGGGAATCTGCATACCTTTGGAGGAATCGGTTGACTGTGCTTGAGATTTGGAATCTGTCACAGAAGAAATTTGATCCAAACCATCACTGTAAAGAAAACAAGGGAGGTGATATCACACGGTGCCTTCTGGAATGAGGAGCAATAAAGAGTTTGCTATTTGAGCTAAAAATTAGAAATGTACATAAAACTATGGGCAAGTAGAGAAGGTATTCCAAATTTCTTGAGTAAGAGCAGTTGAATGATGCACCCTGAGAGTAATCAATTGGTGCAGTGCCCTTGTATTTTCAAACCTGCCTATAATGAGCTCTCAAAGCGAAGCAAACTGGCAAATGGAAGATGTGGTCTGAGAAATTAGATTTCCAGAGTTCCGGTCCTGAGTTCTTCCCACTAGTCCACGTTGCTGTTACTTTTGGAAAGTCACTACAGTAGGTCTGAGGGGGTTGGGGTGGCCGTTATTTGACGTGTCATTCTTAGCGTGGGGCATTGGTATCAGAGCTTTGCAGTATGCCTCTGTGGTGCCATCGGTCATCCCAGCATTTTATGAATTATTATCAAATAAGATAATGGGTGACAACCCTTTGCAAAGTGTAGAGCATTTCATAAATCCAAGGCTGTCTTTACTAGATTTGTTATTTTCTGTCAACTAAAGAACCCTTCCAGGCCGGCCCATGGCTTAGCGTTAAGTGCGCGGGCTCCACTACTGGCGGCCCGGGTTCGGAACCCCGGGCGTGCACAGCGGAACCGCTTTTCAGGCCATGCTGAGGCGGCGTCCCACATACAGCAACTGGAAGGATGTGCAACTATGACATACAACTATCTACTGGGGCTTTGTGGGGGGTGGGGGGAGGAGGGGGATTGGCAATAGATGTTAGCTCAGAGCCGGTCTTTCTCAGCAAAAAAAAAAAGAGGAGGATTAGCATCGGTGTTAGCTCAGGGCTGATCTTCCTCACAAAAAAAAAAAAAAAAGAACCCTTCCTTCTGTTGCCCCCTAGACTGCATCAGGTGTCCACTGCTGGTCAGCCACTCGGGTTATTTTCAGCCCCAGGTATCTATATTCACCCCTGGGCCTCGCCGTCCAGCAGGCGGCGGTAGGTCTCGATCTCCAGCTCCAGGCGGGCCTTGACGTCCAGCAGCCGCCGGTGGTCGGCGTTCTGGCGCTCGGCGTCCGCGCGCACCTGGAGCAGCTGCTCCTCAAGGCTGCCGATGAGCTGCTGCACCTGCGACAGCTGGCCGCAGTAGTCGCCCTCAGTTTCGGCCAACGAGTCCTCCAGGGATTTCTTCTGCACGTGGGAGGCAAATGGCACAGACATAACAATGGAGGGGACTGAAACAAGGAGGGCAGCCAACGGTCTTACTAATTTGGGTGCAGCATTTCCTTTGGGAATCGAATGAAGCCGCGTCTTTCTGCGCGCGCCCTACCATGGCGAGCTGGGACTGGAGCTCGATCTCCAGGTTTTGAAATGCGCGCCTCAGGTCGGTGACCTCGCTCTTGCTGGACTGGAGCTGCTCGGTGTTGGTGCTGATCTCCTTCCTGAGCTCCCCGCTCTGCAACGGCAAAGAGGGGAAGGGGACGCACGTGAGCGCTGCTCTCAGTGGTCTTCTCTGCGAACCTATCGAAGCCTTTTGTTTTTGTTAGTGGTACCTTTTCAATGAACCAGGCTTCCGCGTCCTTACGATTCTGCTCAGCGATGGCTTCATACTGCGCCCTCATGTCGTTGAGGAGCCTGGTGAGGTCCACTCCGGGGGCAGCGTCCATTTCTACGCTGACCTGGCCTGGGCCGTCTGCTCGGAAGCTTTGGAGCTCCTGGGGACAGCGAGTGAGAGAGAGGGGCGCAGGGGCCCATTATGGCTTTCGCGGGCCTCTTCCTCCACAAAAAATATTACATGTTATTTTATGACTGAGTTGATATGCAGACAAGCATGTTATTATATTAAAACATTTTTTTAACCTACAAATTAATATTTTTCTTCTGATTTTAAAAGAACATAAGACATTTCCATGGGCCCCTAAACTTACCACAGGCCCTAAGCGCTGTGCCTGCCATGCCTAATGGATGAGTTGGCCCTGCTCCTTGGGGATCCAGGGCCTTTACAAGAAGGGAAGGCCCGGTGAAAACAGTGCACTGGGCAGTTTAAACTACAGCTGCGAAACCCAGGGCTGCAGACAGGACCTAGGCTTGCCCACTGATGGTGCTATAGTCACCGATTTCCAGTAGAAAGCTCTTTAGAAGCCCATTGCCAGGGTCGTGATTAGTGTCCATTCTATACACCAGTCTCTGATATACACCGCGGCATGTCAGAGTTCCAGGTGTGTATTACACTGGGTGTAACCAGTTTCTCTAACATATGTAACAATATATATTATTGGTAGACTTTTGTTTTTGAACTTTAAAATTATCATATTTTTAAAAATCACTAAATCGGGACAATTAAAATTGTTTGTCCTTATCTAATGATGAAGATGATGAAATCAGATAGTGCCTCTGATCTGTTCAACTTTAACAGGACCACCACACACACACACACACACACACACACACACACACACACAGAGAAATTCAAAACAAATGGCCATTTTAACAGGGGGATCATGTATCATCTATATCTGTTCTAACTCTGAATTTGTAAATTTAAAATTGTAATTTTGGGGTCTGGGAGGAAAAAGCAGCTTAGAGAGCTGGCCTGTCTGGCTGACCTCTTCGTGGTTCTTTTTCAGGTAGATCAGCTCCTCCTTGAGGTTCTCGATCTGCATCTCCAGGTCGGCTCTGGCCAGGGTCAGCTCATCCAGCACCCTGCGCAGGCCGTTGATGTCGGCCTCCACGTTCTGGCGCAGGGCCAGCTCATTCTCATATCTGAAAGCCAAGTACCAAACAGTATAGGGAATTAACAGACCCATTGGAATAAGGCCCCTGCCATCTTCAGGGCTATTTTGTGCATAAATCTGTACGACTATTCAAAAATGGCAGCGTTGCAATGTATAATGCTAATGCTGTTTCTGCTTTTATAACGTTTTCCTTTCCTTGTTTTCGTGATCGTTTACTGCTCAGTTGGAGAGAAGTGAAAAAATTATGAGGTGATATTTTTCTACCAGCAAGAAATCCCAATATCATTTCACGCCAGGGAACAATTTCCCCTTTGGCTGGCGGCCCTGGCTGTGAACAGTAGGAGCCGCTCTCTAGGTGGAATTTCTGATGGAATCCTAAAAGCAGTTGAAAATAAAATAATAATTAGTCTTTTTGCTTAACTTTTATTCATGATTTAATTTAAAACATTGATACTTCTTTAATAACTTTTACCAAGATTTACAGGTGCAAGATCTTCACCACTGCAACATCCCGTGTGGGAATTTTGTGGAGCAAAAAGGACATTAGTGTTTCTTCCTTATGTCTGGGAGGGTGGAGTATGGGAAAGGAGGGGGCAATATAAAAATAAGTGCATAGTTAATATTTTAGTTGTATGTGTCCTGAGGAAAAAGATCATTTCATTTAACTTGCAGCCAAAAACATTGTTGATTCATTTTCATACATGGAAGGTTGAGGTTTAGGACATTGGTGGAATTATCATGTTATATCATGAGTCCATAGCAAATTACAAATATGGTGATCTATAGCCCTAGGTTTAAGCAATGTATAATTAAGGACATATAATGTGAATCGTGTTTGAATCTAGTTACTTTCTAGACTGCCCAATGTGAATTTCCCAAAACACTAAATGTGTGGAGCATGTGAATTGCAGAAGGTTTGAAATATTTGCCATCAACGAAGGCAGGAAAATAGGGAATAAGGAGAAATGGTGGGACACGTCAGTTACCGTTAGTCTTTCTTTTGTTCTACTCACTTCATTCTGAAGTCTTCAGCAGCCAGTCTTGCGTTGTCAATCTGCAAGATGAGCTGGGCATTCCCAATGCTGGCAGAAATGATCTGGCAAAACAGGGGAAGACACTCAAAATAAGGTCCTAAAATACCAGTATTATACAAATATATTTTTGACAGGAAACTTTTAGGTGATGTTAAAATGCTATTTATGAGTAAGGCAGTTTAACTTTTTTTAAAGAAAATATATTTATAAATATTATTTAAAAATTAAGAAACACATATCCTACAGAAAGGTAGTAAAAATAGAGTCACTTTATGGTAAATGATAAAATGAAACTAAATATCTTGAGTTGAGAAATTTCTCCAAATACAGTCAAATTGAAAAACATTTAAGTTTTAGGTGATTTATCGCTGTAAAATATTGTAATGGCAAAAAAAAAAAAGTAAAAAATAATTCCCAAAGCCCTTCCAAAGAACCATATTCTTACCTTATTCCTGAGGTCTTCAATCAATGGATAATATTTACTGTAATCATTCTGTGACCCGGGGTCTCCAGTCCCAGATCCTCGTGTTTCATACCATTCTCGAATTTTGTTTTCCAGCTCAGTATTAGCCTCTTCTAGAGCTCGAACCTTATCCAGGTAGGAGGCTAATCTGTCATTAAGATTTTGCATAGTTTCCTTTTCTGATCGGGACAGAAGGCCTCCATCATTGCCAGAGAGAACACCTAGAGAGCCACCTCCTGGGCTTCCCCCAAGTCCCATCGCCAGGCTTCCAAAGCCACCTCCCAGGGCTCCCCCGTAAGCAGCGCCCAGTCCTCCTGCACAGGAACTTCCAGAGCCACCACCAAAGCCAGAACTAGAGCCAAACATGGAAGCAGCAGAAAAGCCTCCCCCACAGCTGCCTCCCAAGCCAAAGGTGCTTCCCCCATAGCCACTTCCCCCATAGCCACTTCCAGCACTGGAAGCAGACATGCCCCAGGCTCTGCCCGACGTGCCGCTCTGGGAAGACAGCCCCCGGGGCAGCCCAGAGGTGCGCACTGAGAGTGACATGGTGTTGCTGGAGAGATCCACAGCCAGGGGAAGGTGGCAACAGCCTGGGAGGAAGCGGTGTCAGCAAGATGGAGAGGTTAACCTTTTATAGGACATGAGGTGGGTGTTGCGGTTGAAAAGTTCACTCTCTCCATTCCAGATATGGTGTCCTCCCCCTTCTTGACCAGCTCAACAGTAAATGATTTATACATATTGAAAATTCATTGGTATAGAAATAATTGAATACTTGTGCCCATTACATATTTGTTATACAAAAAAGAAACCTGGGTGGAGTAGAGATAGGTTGTCATAAAGAATTTTTTTCTCCAAATTATTCTATTGCCCATATTCTCAGCACTGCCCAGTATCTTATATACACTAGGAAAGCTGCGCGAGATTGTTGAATGGATAAATGAATGAATACTTCTTCCTGGGCCTTAAGCTTCTTGAAGTTCTTCACTTACATGTCTTATTTGTTTCCTTTAGAAAATGCAATATAAATCATCCAATCATGATCTAGTCTATCTTCTAGTGAAATGTAGTTTCAGAAGCAGTTGTGAAAACCACTGGTGGAAGGCAGGAAATAAATGCATTTTCCAGATTGATACTGGAATTTGAATTTTCAAGAATTTTAAAACCTTGTCATTAGGATGTTGTGTAGTCTTTTTTTCTGATTTGGGAAGAAGACCTCTTAAACATGGAAAAATGCTAGTTTTGAGCAGAATATGATAGTATTTTCAGCAGATCTTCCTTTCCATAAGGATTAACCTTCTTAGTAAACTCCATGAAACCAGGAGCCTTATCTGATTGTTCGCTACCCTACCCCCAGCATCACTAGTGTATCAAAATACCAGTGATTTTTGTGTATTGATATTGTATCAGTGCTTGCACCCTCAACCCCTGCCCCCTAAATATCCAGATATTTTCTGCCCCAACTCCAGCCTCCCTGAAGGTGAGGTTCTTCAGTCCTGTGAACAGTCCTGAGCCAGAGCCAGCTGTGCGCACTGGTGATTTGGGGGCAAATGCAGAGGGGTTATACCTGAAGCCCATGTCAGACCTCTATGGGGAATACCCAGTGTCACTTCTGGCAAATAGGAGGACTACGTGACATTTTTATCACTTTCCCAGGGCAGGAATGATGAACCCGTGGTGAAATCCAATTACAACTTCCTTTTACTTTATTATAGAAGGAACATATGCAAAGGGACACATTTTGCTCCAACCTATACCCGTCACAAAGAGCAAGCACGGGGGATTCCTAAATAAAGGGATTTGAAGCAAGAGATTGGCAGAAATTACATATTCTCGTTCACAACAGCTATAGAAAGGATGCAGCAATCTGATGCAGACTCAGCTTGATGAAAGAGGCCATAATCCATTTGTTTCATTTCTCCAGAGAACGGAAACCTGTTAAGTGGAAATGGCAGGGGCCTCAGCCTCCTATGGAGATTTTAACCAAGGATTCCTTTAGTCTATATTACAGGCGTTTTGTCTGAGCTTATTCTTGTTTGAATCGTTAATAGTTATTGCATACTTACTATGTTCTAGACGCTGGGCCTCATGAACTACAGGCATTATTTTTAACCTTCGTGGCAATCTCTTAAGGTGGATACTTTTAATCCGTTTTACAGACGAGCAATCTGAGGGTCAGGATGTTAAGTGACTTATTCAAGGCCACACAGCCAGGAGGTCGCAAAGATAGGATTCGGGTCTGCAGTGCCTTTTTGGACAACACAACCCTGCTGCTTACAGTGAAAGCAAAGGACAAAGGGTCACTCGGACCCTCCAGTCGTGAGCCTGGGCTTCCGTCCTGCACGTCAACCAGGAACTTTATAGCTCTTTCCTTTTCACGAAAGCTTTCTCCTTGAATTTCATTTCTCAGTGTACAGGGTGAGACCTAGAAATCTACTCTTCACGGTTTATAAGAAGTGACACCACACATGAAATCCTGCAAGCATATAGGCAAACGTGTTTTTGGTTTTACTTTTGACGTGTAACTGCATCTCCAGAGATCTTATAAAGTACTAATTAAACTTGCACTTCCCACACAGGAACTTGATGTTATGGTTGTTAATTATTAGTCACTCACAAGCAGCATCCCCCGAAGACACAGTGACTCCATTTTATTGCCATAGTAATGAAAACAAGCTATTACTTGCTTACAGGCCAGAGAGAATGTGCCAAATTCAGAATTGTAACTTAGTGATATGATCACATAATATAGGCATATGAATAACTTGAATTTTTAAATTTGGAAACAATTTTGTGCTGAAATGTGTACTTTCCGATTCTAATGCCTATATGTAAATTTTAAATACTTTTGCTCAATATCTATACATTATATATACATGTTACAGCTTTATGTTTCTACACACATTACAGTCATGTGTCGCTTAATGACGGGGATACATTCTGTGAAATGCATTAGGTGATTTCACAGTTGTGCCCAACATCATTGAGTGTACCGAAGGTGAACAAAATTTGCCACCCCAAAATGTATCTCCTTAACATGAGGATTATTGTAAGCTGATTTTTTTTTTTTTTAAGATTTTATTTATTTTATTTTTTCCCCCCAAAGCCCCAGTGGATAGTTGTATGTCATAGCTGCACATCCTTCTAGTTGCTGTATGTGGGACTCGGCCTCAGGATGAACGGAGAAGCGGTGCCCCGATGCGCACCCGGGATCCGAACCCGGGCCACCAGCATCGCAGCGCGCGCACTTAACCACCAAGCCACAGGGCCGGCCCTAAGCTGATTTTTTTTAAGAAACAAGAGACTCAGAAAGTTTTTTTGTTACTCCCCCTTAACTGCCTAAAAGAATTCAGATAAGAAAACCTGTCTCAGGAAGCAGCTCTCACCCTAGCATAACACGAACTAGGTGGTAGACAGGGAGGAATCTAGAAAGCCTGTTTATTGGGCTCGCCTCTGTGTTCTGTTTCTGTGTGGCCAAACAAATGCTTGTTTTCCAAACATTTGCTCCTTTTCACCTATCTGTGAATTGTCTTTGAAGTTCCTGGCTCTCCCCATCCCCAACATTTTTTGTCTTTAGCTGAGAATAGTATTTAAGGTGAGGGCTTGGGCCATTTTAGTGAACTACTCGGTTTCCCTGGGTTTCTCCCATGTATGCATGTTATTAAACTTTTGTTTGTTTTTCTCCTGTTAATCTGTCTCATGTCACTTTAATTCTTAGACCAGGCAAAAGAACCTAGAAGGGTAGAGGAAAATTTCTTCCTCCTCTACAGTACTCACGGAAACCTAGATGGTATAGCCTAGTGCATACCTAGGCTATATGGTACTAATCTTATGGGACCACCGTCGTATATGCAGTCCATTGTTGTTATGCGATGCGTGACTGTATATATTATCCTAGACTGTAAGCTTCTCAGGTAGGGACTATGTCTAATTCATTTTTTATCCTGAGTCTTAGCCTAGTGTTTGGCTAAACTTTATCCTTGCAATCCTGGAGTTATTTCACTTGAAAGAACTTAATCCTTAATATGTTTGAATGTGTCATTTAAAATTCATTTCATTTAAAAATGACTTTGCTGTAATTTACTCTGAAGATTTATTCTGAATCCAATTATGAATGAGGAGCAACTTCAGAAGTTGAAAAGAGAAATATTTCTTCTTCAGTGGCTTTTTGGGGGCGGGCAGGGAGGGCCAAGTTAAACAGTCAAGCCTCTTTTTGAGAGTTTTTAGAAGTGAAAATAATTTTCTTTGACAGCTGTAAAAATAAGGAAGGTGGGAATGTATAAAGCGGAAACAATCTTGTGCTTGTTGGCAAAGTGATTACATAAGTTGAGACAAAGGAAAATGCCTACAACCAGGGTGAACTGTTCAAAAGAATTACATCTTCCATTTTTGTACAGTTTAGGGAATATGCAAAATAGAGACAATTATTTACGTGGTATTTGTAAATCTTTAGATTTTTAGAAAGTAAAATGTGTGCTTATCTTTTCATGCCAGATTGGTTAGTTTCCCCATCTTTGATTGCAGGATTTTCCACCTGAGTTCTTTCCCTTACAGACAGACTTTCCGCTTTCTGCAGTTCACTGATCACTTGGTTCATAACACTTTTTGCTTTTGCTTTGAATAACATTTTAAGATCCTGTGAGTGAGTGAAAGAATATTGGGTTACTGATGTTTTATGCCGTGCTAGTGAGATGAGGAAGAACAAGGACCCTGGGGTCACGCTTGAGGATGCGGTCTGGACTTTAGACCTCAATGGTTCTCAAAAGCTGGGGAGGATCATACGTGGTGAAAGAGAGGGGGAGGAAGATAAAATAGTACTCCGGTAAGGGGGATCTTGGAAGTGAGTCTAGGGGAGAGAAAACAGACGTTTGAAGTGAAATTAAAAAATAGAAATCACTAACCAATGCTTTAAGTTGAAATTGTTATTTGAAGGTGTACTCGGGTACCCGAGACTGCCCCGAGCGAGGTAAGGGTGAGAGCAGAGGGTGACCACTGGTCAGGGTTTAATTTTATACCATTCCACGTCATTCTTCTTTTTAGATGTTGTAAGGCTCTGTGTAGGAGTAATTCCCAAAGCCCAGAAAAAAATACTTCTCTCTGTCCCAACCTCACCTCTAGGTGATCTCTCTGAGTTTGATAGCTCCACTTCTGCACTGATGATTTCACATAAAGTCATGAAATACATTGATGACGATTCTAATGTGTGATGAAGAGACCTATATTTAAGGACTAGGAATCTTCTCCGGATCTGTATGCCTGTCAGAAGTAGGATCGTGCTGTTCTGTTTCTTAGCTCCTACAAAAAGTATAGATAGATACGGAGATTAATGCTTCGCTTTCACACAGTAAGCACTAGTTGAACCGGAGGTGGAGTCATCTGGTTCCACATGTATGTATGGTCTCATCTACTTTCTTTGAAAGATTACTTGGAAGAAACTAGCGATAGGCCAAAAGGCAAGGGTTAGTCTTCATTTTAATGATAGAAAATTGAGTTAAAAGTAATAGTCCTACCTCTTTTAACAAAAGGTCATTATTGCCGTCTGACAGTGGCCTCACCTAGTGAATTTCAAACTCATCTTCTGTAGGTTTTTTATTAATCAGACTCATGGTCTCTGGTATTTGCA